GCCGAGAGCGCTGTCTGCCTGGCCGTCCTCCCAGGGCCTGGGCGAGGAGAAGCTTCAGCGGGAGCTCGCGAGGGCTCAGAGGGGGTCGGCGGCCATCCGCGGCAGGAGACGCTTCTATTGAGAGGGCGGAGAGATTGGCGGGAGCGGAAGGGGGCGACCCCACTGCAGACGACCATCCTCCACGACCCGTGGGGCCGGCACGCCAAGTCGGAGCGATGGCGGGCCATCGACGACGGCGGGGCGGTTCTCGGCCGCCTGGGGGGCGAAGGGGCCCCACCCGAGTTCGAGCGCGAAGAAGGCGAAGAAGGATTCGAGGAGGATGCGATCCAAGGGGGGCGCGCGCCCGCTGGTGGCTGGGCAGGTCGCGGCGCCGCCCTGCGACCCGAGGTCGCGGGGGCCCACCTCGACGACAACGGGGGCAAGATAATCCGAGACGCGGGCCAGGTCGACTAGGGGCGCTACGAGAACACCGAGAGCTACGTGGACCCGGGATGGAGACGACAGGAGAACAAGCTGGACCACATTCTTCGAATGGTTTAGCCTGGTATGGCGGGCTACGTCAAGACGGTCAGGGAGTGCGCGGGGCGCTCGCGGGGGTGAAGCACCTGGACGTGACCTCCCAGAGTGTCGAGAAGAGTCGGCTGGTCTGAGATCGCAGAAGGGTGACCCTCCTGTTCAAGGGCGCGCCGTCGGCACCTTTGGGCTGCCCCGCATCCTTGGCCCTGTTTGAGCTGGACGAGTCAATCCTACATGGGCTACGGCTCTTCTCGTTTCAGGGCGACGTTCCCGATTGGTTGAACCGTCCACGGTGGCCTCGCTCCTTGGCGGAGTATTTTGCGCTACCCGAGGCAGCCCCGCGCCCGATCTACGACTGCGCCCAGGAGAGGGGGGTCTCTATGCCGAGGCCGTGCGAGGACGGTGGGATTGGTGCGATGTCTCCTGCGGTGGGCTCGAGCTGGGCGGTCTGTTTGGCGCGCAGTTTTCTGGGCGACGCGCTCGAGGAGGCGGGGGGGGGCGGGCCATGCCCGGATCGCTCGCGGCCGACCTGTGCCGTCGTTCGAGATCGCGCAGTTGATGCTCCTCCTGTGCAGCGACGACAACATCGGGCTGAAGCTGCGCGTGGACGACGGCGAGGAGTTCGGGGTCGAGAAGAACAAGGTCAGGGCACATCTGGAATCCAAGGGGTTGCCCGTGCACAAGGGGGACTGGGGGGGTCTGGCGAGAGGCTTAGGGCTGAGCATCGGGGCCAGAACCTTCCGCCTGAAGGTCGTTCCTGACCAGGTGCGAGACCTGGCGCCGGCTACTGAGACGGTGGCGGCGCTGGGCAGGGCGACCCCGGGCGCGCCCGACAGCTTGCTGGGGGCGCGGGCCTGGGCCGCTATGACCAGCCGAGCGGGGTTCGCCATCCTGGGCGCAACTTACCACTGGATCAACAAGTTCGAGGACGAGGAGGCCTGCCAGTGGCAGGCTGTCGATGCGCAGACGAAGAGCGAGCCGCAGGCGCTGGCCTCGATGCGCGCGCGCCTGGAGGCGGACTTGGAGGCGCCCTGGTTGGAGAAGGTCCAAATGGCGGAAGGAGGGCTCCGCCGAGGCGGTGGCGGAGGCCGACCTCGAGGAGGTCAGGGCGGAGACCAGCCGTGGGGCCCTCCAGTCGTGGGTCGCGCAGGCGGAATCTGCGCGCGGCGAGGTCGGGCGGGGGACAGCTGCGGAGGGCAACGAGGAGGGCGAGACGATCTCACCCGAGATGGGGGGGCCAGGCTTCCTGGAGGTCTTCGCGGACAGCGAGAGGCTCCAGGACGCGGCGCGGGCTGACAGTCTATCTTGGGAAGGGGTGGCGTGAGGCGCGAGGAAGGGCCCCGAGTTCGACCTCGCGCGGCGAACCTCGAGAGGCTGTTTCGACCACTGCGGCGGCGATGCTGGTGACGGGTGCACTTGGCACCTCCTCGCGCTACGTGCTCGAGGGCACGTGTGCCGCAACTGCGGTCAACGGCGCCCCCCTGGGGAGTACTTGGACTGTTCGAGGCCGACCTGCAGAAGGTGAATGTAGGCTCAACGCTGCGTCTGGCGGCGATCCAAGTGGCTTTGCTGCGCGTGAGAGAAGGCGTCTACTTCGTGATCGACAACCCCGATTCCAGTCTCATGTGGAGCCATCCCCCGATGGTCGAGCTGCACCACAGAGGAGAGGTGATCACGGTCACCCTCGGCTACCGCATGCACGGCGAGGCCCGGAAGAAAGGGGCCGCCCTGATCACCGACAGCAGGGCCCTGGAGGTCTTGGGGGAGAGGTGCCTGGGCCAGCGGGCGATGTCGTTCGAGAACTGGCGCGCCGCGCCAGGAACTGCGGGGCAGTGCGCCACGCGGAGCCAGGTGGGCGAGCTTAGCCTGCCCCTGCCTTGCGCTGTTCTGCGAGGCCTACGCGGAGGTTGCGAAGGAGGTGGAGCCGAGCTGGGACCGAGCACCCTCGGGAGCGCAGGTCCGACTACGGCGTCGGCTTCCTTGAGTGGTAAAGGCGCGGGCCCGACGGCTATCCCCGAGGGGGGCCTGGCTGATCGAGCTTAGGGGGGGTGCTCTTCCCAAGCCGATGGCAGAGGGGGGCGCAACGACGTGCTGGAGCTCGGAACGATCATCGGTCTCTTCATTCACCTCTCTAGGACGTCCAGGGCGCGGAGGTCCAGGGTTCTCTTCGTGACCGACTCTCTCGTGAGACTGGGCGCGCCGGTTAAGGGTCGGAGCTCTGCGCCATCGTTGCTGCATCAGGCAAGGATGGCGTCATCCAGCTGGCGCGTGGGCTGGGGGGCGACTGCCGTCAGGTGGCGCCCGAGGTGAGCATTGCGGATGGCCCATCACGCGTTGCGCGCCCGGGCGCGGCGGGGGGGGCAAAGGAAGGCCGCGGGGCGAGATGCGCGCCGAAGCGACTACTGCAATGGCTTCCAGGACCAAGATAACACGGCCGAGTTGGCCCTCTCTCTGACGGCGGCGATGGCGAGCACGCAGCGTGCGACAGCCGCTCCGAGAGGATCCAAGCCCCCACCATTCAAGACGAGGGGGGAGCGAGCATGGGAAGTCGCGAGTGCTGGCCCTTTGAAGTGCATCAACAGGCTGGCCATCCACGCGGCCGACGACAACGCGAATATCCAGTGCAAGAGGGCGGGGCAGGATTTCCTGGTGGACGTCGAGCGGCGCCGGCCCCCCTTCGACGCGATTGCCGAGAGGGGCAGGGCCCTGGCGGACTACATCGCGGACCTCTGTTACGCGCAGGGCGCCAGCTACATGAAGGCCAGCTACTGCTTCGACGGGTTCATGCGCATCTTAGAGGACCACATGGGCCATCTCCCAGCGGTTGCCAGGGCCCTCCCTCGAGAGCTGGGAGCGCGTGGGATGCGGCGGCAAAGGCGAGCCGATCCCGATCGAAGCGGCGGGCGTCATCATTCAGACCTTCTTCGAGCGTGGGGAGGTCATGGAGGGCGCAGCGGCGCTCATGCAGCTGGAAGACGGCTGGTTGCGCGAGCAGAATTGGTTCCAGCTGCGGAAGGGCGACGTCGGCATCGACGCGGACGGGCGCATCGGGCTGATCCTAGGACGGCGTGAGGGAGGAGAGAAAGTCAAGACGGGCCAAGACCAGGGCGTCGAGCTGAAGATGAAGGTGAGCCAGGCAGTCGTTCAGGCGCTGATGGACGGCATCGGCGGGGACGAGCTGGTGCTACCCGCGAGCCCGGGCAGCTCCAGGCAGGCGTGGGGGGGGGGCTCCTGTCAGACATCCAGCTCGAGTGCCTCGGACCCCCCGCGGCGCCCGACGCGCCGCGGGGGCCAACTTCGTCGCGGCGGGGGGGGCCTCGAGGGGGCGCGTCGGCGAGGCTGGTGGAAGATTCCAGGAGCGTCGACCAGATGCACCAAGGTCCACGCCCACATCGAGAGGCGGTCGGAGCGCCCAGACCACGTGGTCAAGCAGGGCAGGGCGTGCTGGAGCGCGCCGTCGAAGTACATCAAGAACGCCCAATCGACCTCCCTGGCAGCGGAGACCCCGCTGGCGCAGAGGCTGATAGCCAGTCTCGGGAAGGTCAAAGGAGATGCCGCGTCGGTGTTTTGAGCTGAGGCAGTGAACACCAATGAGCCGGCGAGTAAGCCCTCAGCAGCTCATCGGACGAGGCTCCGACGCACGAGCTGGCCTGCTGTCATATCTCTCCTCTCTTATCTCTCTTTCATTCGACTGCAGTCGAACCTGTAATTCGGGGGTTGAGGGCTAACCATCGCGTGTGTGTGTGTGTGTGTGTGTGTGTGTGTTAATGTATGCTTATCCCTCCCTCCCATCCTCAAAGCAGTCTGCGTTTCTTTTGAGGCCTGTCGGCCAGTTACTTCCATGCGGCAGATGGCGGGTTATCACGTTTCGGATTCTGTCGACAGGAGCCCCCTGGCGAGAGACTGGTGGCGCACGTGGCAATGGTTGCGTGTATTGCTCCTCCCGTGCTCGCGAATTTTGACGCGATGTGGAACTGTTGCGGGTTCGATCGCCCCTTCTCTTGAGTCAAAAAAGGGCCGTCTGTCTTTACTTGCTATCCCTGTCGGGGTGATCCGCCCGACCCTGCTTGTGGCTGGCCCCTCCACTTAGCAGCAGAACATAAACGTCCGGACTTTTCTCGGCGCGAACACGTCTGGGTAGGAGGCTGGAGGACGAGGCGGGATGGGGGCGGGACGGCTCCGCTTCCCCACCCTGGCATTCGCGGAGCGGGCAAGCGAGGCCCAGGCCCCGCAACCGCGCCTACGGACGCCGACGCTACAGCCGACGACGACGACGACGAAGACGACGACGGCGACGACGACGACGACGACACCGCCGCCGACGCCGCCGACGGCTGCAGCGCCAACGACGACGACCACGACGGCGGCGACGACGACGGCGACGACGACAGCGATGCCGACGGCGACGCCGACGGTGGCGGCAGCGAGGAAGAATGCGACGAGGCAGCTGCCGGCCTGGCTGGCCTGCCCCCGCGGCACTGTAGCGGAGGACGGCCGCTTCGTGGTCACCGCTTGCGAGGACGGAAGCTGCCGCCTGTGGCACAGCGACCCCGCGGCAGAGCTGGAGGCTGCCGCTGCCGCGCCCGCCGCCGCGCCGTCGTCGTCGTCGCCGTCGCCGTCGTCACTGTGGTAGTCGGCGTCGCCGCCGCTTCCGTCGTCGTGGGCATTGTCGTCGGCGTCGGAGTAGGCGTCGTCGGCGTCGGCCTTGTAGTCGTCGGCGTCGTCGGCGCCGTTGTCGTCGTCGGCGTCGGCGGCGTCGTCGTCGTCGTCGTCATGGTGGTCGTCGTGGTCGTCGTGGTCGGCGTCGTCGTCGTCGTCCCGCCTGCACCCGCTTGTCATCCCGGGCCATTCTTGGGCGGTCCCAGGGCCCGGCGACGGCACCCGAGTCCCCTATCGCTATCACTTTCGCTACGAAAGCATGTGGGGGATGCGACTGCTTCGACCCAGCTGGTTCCCCGCCCTCGCCCCGCCGATTTCAGCGTCTGGCGGCGGCTTTCGGGCCCCGTGAAAATCAGAAGTAGATCCCGGACGGAAGCCTAACCCCAGAGGAGGGTTCGGGATCTCTCAGGCCGCAGATTGAAACAAAAACACGTCGTTGGATGTCTGGGGAAAAGACGGTCCTGGATAGGAGCCCGAAGTAGACTTTTGAGTGTCCGCGTTGTGAAAAGTACGACGTCGGATATTTGAAATCGTCGGAGACCTGGGACCTTCCCAACGTCGCCGAAGCACGAAATCCGCATCGAGGCACTGAAATAAGAAAGAGGGGGAGGAAGCGGTTCTAGAGAGTCTAGCAATGAGAGCACCAGCAAGTTTCTCGCGAGCGCCTCGGCGTGAAAGACGCAGTCACGGCGCCACCTCAGGTGCGGCCCGTAGACACGCGACGAACCCAATCAACCAAACGGGACACCCGAAGCAATACTGGCGACGGCGATCCCAGGACTCGTCACCAGCCGAATTACTCGTGCACATGCGCTCAAGCCTCCTCCGCGAGCCCCGTCCGCTCTCGAGCCCGCCGGCGCCCGATGTCAGCGGAGGGGGGGTGGCTGGGGGGAGCAGCAGAGGAGGCCGCTCTTCTTGAGGCTCTTGCGAGTTTGCTTCCATCAGGGGGGGAGGGCCCTGACCTCATCCCTGATCTCCGACGATGCGATTTGTTTCAGCCGGTGCTTTTTCTTCGATTTGGGCCTCCAGGGCCCTTTGTATCGGGCCCCTGGACTGCCAGATTGGATCTGGGACAAGTTGTTTGCCCTGGGCAAAGGGGTCGGGCCCGGTTATGGGCCACGCATTGAACGAATCATATCGTCGGATGCCTGGGTTCTCGTCATGGCACATTCGCGAGGGGAAGTTTGGGGTAACTTTCGGCCGCCCCAGGGGGGGGCTTCAAACAACTGTTGAAGGTGAAGAGCGTGACCCTGGGAAGAGGTCCAGACCTCTGGGATGGGGAAACAGTATTGGTTTGATAAGTAGGCTCAGTGTGGACTGCATCGACCCCCCAACGCCCGCTTCTGGCTCGATGCGTCCTCCCCGATCGTGCCCCTCCCCGCCCCTCAGGAGGGGGGGAGGGGAACCACATCTGCACCTCGCGCAGGTCGTGGCTCGCCTGCACGCCTCCTCGGCCCAGCACTGCTTGGAAGGCGGCGGGAGGGGGCCCCGAGGCCCGGCGAGGGCCCCTACAGGGGCCGACACTTGCGAAACACATCCGTCCTGACTCTTGTCAATGCGTTGGATCTCTGGGTCTCGGGCCGGAGGGCCCCTATAGGGGCCCTCGCCGGGCGGGGGGCCCAGAGCTCCGACGTCGTGAGCTTTGCCGCAGTGTCGACAGCCAGAGGCCTGGACCCCTCCCCCAATGGACCGGGGTCTCCTTCCGGGCAGCGCTTTGTCGACGGTCCCGGGGCCCAGCGAGAGGGCCCCAGAGGCCGAATCGTTGGTAATCCCCAAACGTGGTGGTGACAACACCTGGCGGTGAGTCTCGGGCGATTTGGTGTCACCACCCGGTTTGGGGACTCGTGCGGTTTTCCGAGGATGTCCCGGACACTGGTGGGTCCAGGAGTCACAAAACCCGGTGGTGACCCCGCGTCCCCAAACCCAGCGGTGACCTTTTTGGGGATTCCAGGTCGCCACCTGGTATCTCACCACCCGGTTTGGGGGTTCCCAAGAATCGGGCCAAGAAGTGGTCCGTCATGGTTTTTCCTTCACAGGAGGAGTGGGAGGCGAAGGGTGGGTTGGGAGGGGCGAAGTGCCGTACGAGCAGACGCGCCTGAGTCGAAGGCAGAACCTTCGATTGGCAAAATCCTGCGCCTCTTGCGCTGATTGTTGTGAACACCCGCCGCGCCCGCAATTTGACATTGGCGGGCTGCGCCGCGATGTGCCGTTCTGTCGACTGGCCGAGATCCTGAGCCCCGCTGGCGATGCCAGCCAACATTGAATCTGGAGAGGGGGGCGCGTTGAAGTTTTCGGCGGCGAGCCCAGGGGGGAAGTCAGAGGGGCGGGCCTTCTCAGAGAACTCGGAAGGCCTCGGGCCTTCTGAGACGTTTTCTAAGCCGTCTCCGAAAACGGAGACGGCTTCTCGGAAGGCCAGAGGGCTTCGGAGAAGCCCTGCCTCCTTCTGAGAAGGCCTGCCCCCTCGCCCACTTCCCCCTGGCTGGGTATAGCCAGGACCCGGTTCAGGGGAGCCGGTTTGTGCCTGGGCCCCGAAGCCCAAAACATGGGAATCGCTGAACCAGGTCTGTCGTAGCTGTTTTTTTTTCTGGTGACAGCAGTTCCAGCTACGGTGAAGGCGTTTGTTAAGGAATAGTCCCAGGATGCGCCAGACCCTGGAGGATTCCTTATCCAATGAGGGCGGCGGCGACATCCATGGCCGATCCACGATTGGAGTTCCACTGGCTTCCAGACCCTGGATTCCTTATCTGAGGGTTCCTTATCCAATGCCCACACCGTCCGTAGCCATTTTGGCTCAAGCCGATCCCACTGCGCGCTCTCGTTTTGGGCCCCGCGGGTGGCCGCAGAGATCGACTGCTTGGGGGATGGCTGCGGGCGGCGGCCGAGCTGCCTGTACGGCAGCCGAGCCGCCTCAGCACGGCGGGGCTGCGGCTTCGCTCTGGCCTGCGCGACGTGCCCGACGGGCCGCGGCGCGTGAGGCCGACCAGGGCAAGCTGCGGGCGGCGCTAGGGCGCGTCGCAGTCCTCGAGGCGGAACTCGCGGCTCTGCGGGTCGCCCACGAGGCGGCGGCGGCCCAGGCGCTGGCGCTGGCGGCCCAAGGCTCAGCCCAGCTTCCCAGCGAGGCGCTCCACCGCGAGGTCTCCGAGAGGCTGGCGCTGGCGGTCCCCGTCCTCCTGGAGGTGCTGGCAGGCCCGCAGCGTGCGGCGGCCGACACCTCTTCGGCCCCTCGGCCGCCTCCTGGGCCCTTGCGGCTTGCGGGAGCGGGCGAAGGAGTGCAGGGGAGCGGGCAGGCAGCAGCGGCCGCCAGCGCTCACCGAGTCGACGGCGCCCAGAGCATGCCCCTCAGCGGCGTGCTACAGGGTGCAGGCGACGGTGCTGGCACGGCCGCGGGCGAGCCTACCCAGGCTCAGGCAGGCGAGCGGTGGGGCAGCGGCAGCCGTGTGGTGGCTGGTGTGGGTCCGCTGCACCGTTCTCGGCGCAACGCTGGGCTCCACTGCGCAGCAAGGAGGGCCGCTAGCATTTCGGTGATGCGGCAGTCCTCCCTCAATCGCCTGCAGAGGTCTGCGAAGGCGGGGCGGGTACACCTCGGAGGGCAAGCTCGGCACGGTCGCGTCCGCGGCGCGGGTGTTCGCGCACGGGCTGCTCTTCCTCTACCTCGCTCTGCTGGTGCAGCCTCCCATGTGCGGCAGCGGTCGGAGGAGCGTCGCCCCCCTCTCCGAGGCGGCGCTCCTGCCCCGCCGCGCCGCCAGCCAGAGGCGCGTGCCGCCTGCGAGGCGGCCCCGAGCGATTGGACGGTCGCTCGGGCCTACCGCGGGCGCAGCGCGCCGCCTGGCGCCATCTTCGCGCTGGCCGAGCGCGCGAGGCGGGCTCCCGAGGCGAGGCCGCTGCCCTTGGCCTCGGGCCCGCGCTGGTGGAAGTGGAGCGTCGAGGACGGCGACGTAGTCGGCGTCGGCGGCGCCTCGCACGGCACCCACTTTGACAGCAAGGAGGCGCAGAAGGCTCCCGTGGCGGCGGCGCCCATGGGGCTCGACAAGCACAGGCCTGAGAGCAGCGGCGGCTTCGGCGAGCACCCTGCCCCTCGGCCTTCTGAAGGGGGTGCTGGTCATCCTCATCGCCTCCCTGATCCTGGTGCGGCGTGCAGCACTGCCTGCACCTCCTCTCCTGCTGCTTTCGCGGACCCCTCGATCGTCACGGCGTACTTGCTGGCCAACGAGGCTGCCGTCCTCAGCGGTGGCAGCGAGATGGCCGCTGGCGACATCGACGGCGAGCTCAGCATGCAGGTGGACGGCTCCCGCAACCAGGACGGAAACAGTGCTCTGGCCTCGGATGCCGTGGCGCACGGCGGCTTCGACCTCTCCCCGCACTTCGGCAAGGACGACGGCGTGGAGGCGGCTGGGCCCCAGCGCAACGGCGGCAGGAGCCTGGACGACGACGCCCTCCTCACTTCGCCTCCCTCGGGTTCCTGCTCCTGCTCTGGCGGCGGGGGGATCGATGTGGAGGACGGCGAGGGCGGCGTCGGTGGCGGCTGCACGCTCCACGGCTCGGAGACGGTGGCGCGCCAGGAGCCCGCGCGTGGGCCCAAGCGGCTCTTGGCGCTGCGCCGCCACGTCTTCGAGGGAACCGTGGCCCTCACGGTCGACCGTGACATTCGGAGGCCGGGCTGGCAGGGCGACGGCGGCGACGACGCTCCTCCAGCTCCCTCAGCCTCCGAGCTAGAAGCTGGGCGTCTCTGGCTCCGTGACACGTTCGGGCCTGGCTCCCCGTGGAGGGCGCGGGCCAGGCAGGAGCGGCAGCGGAGGCGCGAGGCGCAGCTCCAGCAGTAGGCGGCGGACACCGCCTTCTCTTTGCGAGCGTGGAGCCCCCAGAGAGGCGGGAACGGGCACCCGCCCCGCCTGCCCCGGGGAGGCTGTT